ATAACATATATTTGTTTGTAGAGAAACAGTTAATATTACAATTATTTTACAGTTTTTCTGTTTATAATAATTTGAAAATACAAAGGAGAATTTATAAAATGATAAAGAAACATGGAAAATTTAGTCACGTAAAGCAGGTAATTGTAAATAAAAAATTTTGATAAGGACTTTAAAAACATTTTTGATTGTGAACAGCAGAAATATATTAATGTTTGTAATATAGAAAATGAATTCTAAGAGCGCATTTTTAAATTAAATTCTGATAACAGTCACTCTGAGTGTGAAACTTAATTAATATGAACATTTCTGTGCAAAATTAATGATGGCAATTAAATCCAAATGTTTAAATAAAATTAAAGTTGTGATTTTTATAAAAAATTGCAGTTAAAATTAAATAATTTGTTTTTAATTATTCATTTTTAAAACTTTAACATTTTAGCATTTTTAATTTATTTTCTAAACATTTTAATTGTGTTTTTATGATGCTATTAAGAACTATAAATGATAAAGTAAAAAGACATTCTGATTAAAACTTTAAAATTTACTAAACTATTCCAGTTGTTGTGTCTTTGTTTTTGTTAGGATGGTTCCAGGACAGTGGTGAAGAACATTAGTCTGGAATACTGATCATTACCATTACAGGATAATCCTCTGCTGAACACAATCTTCCTGCAGCAAATGGGGCACCAACAGGTAGCATGCTAACAACCTTCTTCATTCCATTATAAATAACCTCCCTGGTACTCTCCAGGCAAGGCCAATGATACAAATATTGATTACCTCAATTAGAATAATTAATGATGTCAGATCAAACCAATTATTACTAAATTATGGTCAACAGGACCTGAGATTAATTAATTTCTCATATACAAAAATAATCGGCCGTTAGGATTTTACTGATACCCTAAAAGTAATCTATCTTTACGAAATTTCTTCATATAAAATAGGATGTCTAATAAGTAGGTCTTGGCCAAACCAAAATGAAGGTTTCAGTCTTCAACTGATTTAATAAGTATTAATCAAAGAATTCTATGATCTTGGCTTCTGCTATGTATTTAGAAATTCTTGATAAAATCCAAAGAAGAATCTGCAATGTTAATAGGTCCTGACCTGGCATCTTGGCGTCAGTCATTTTTCCTGTACCTTTTCTATAAATACTTTCGTGGTGATTGTTCTGATAAACTTTTCTTTATGGTACCTAGACTTTATGAATTTAAGTGCAGTACTAGATTGGTGGTGATCTCATCATATTCCAGTTAAAATGGTTAGATATAACTGTAAGTTCTATGCTAACAGTTTCTTCTCTCATAATTCTTGCTTGTGGGACTCTTTTCAGCTTCTTACCTTCCAGTCAACTTTGATATTCAAAAATTTAATGGCAAAGTCAATTGTTAATTTTTTGTCTTCTTAAATCCTGTCCTTTTTATTGTTCTTTCTCTTTAAAAATGTTTTTTTTTAATTATATTCTCTCACACTCAATAAACCCTTGCATCTTAGTGGCTTTATTGCCTGGCTTGGGGTGAAATGATTAAAAAAAAATATGCATGACCTTATATATGCATGTGACTGAATTTGAGATGCCAGGTACCAATAACATGCAGCTTAGTGGCTTTATTGCCTTGCTTGGAGTAAAGAGATTAAAAAAGGAAAATAATTAAACAGAAAATTAAAAGAATTCTATTTTTCTGTCAAATCTAAAAGGAATTGTTTTTTAAAAAAATTGAATTCTTTTTCTGTTATATTTTTTAATAAGTTACTTAGTCCTTTGTAAAAAATGATATTCGAAGAGATTAATTCGGATCCCTAAATTATATTTGTGACAATATTTAACCTTTGTGCCCACAAAAAATGATGTCTCATAAGACAGTTATCCCCTTGATATCAATATTAGTGTATACACTTTTGACTTCCTTGGCAATATTTATTGTTTTAAAAAGCAATGATTAGAATTTTAATAAAACCCAAACTGTTGAAATTCAATTTATATATTTTATTTTTTCTTGAGAATTGTCAATAGTTCATTAATAATTTTACAAAATTATGATTAAAAACTTTTTCATTGTTATTTATTAAATAGTAAAGAATAAATATTGCGTTGCAGTTGTTTTTCAATAAAAAGATTTTCTCTCTAATTTTTTTCTTTAAAAAAGGTAAATAATAAATATCATGTTGTACACGCTTCACATATTTTTATAATCTTGTAAAGAAACATTGCTGAGGGAGTCAAAAGTGTATACAGTAATGACAGTGTTAAGGGATTAATCGTCCTTTTCATACACCATTTTTTACAGGCCCAAAACATTGCCAGATTGTTTTATGACAGTATTTAAAACCAATGAAGATATTCAGTTTAATAATTAAGAAGGCAAGTGTTATTTTTTTTTATTGAGTGAGGTAATAAAATTCTATGAGAGTTGATAAGGATATTTAAGAAGTGAATTTTTTTTATTAATATTTATTTTATATGTAACATTAAGAACAACATTACATTTGAATATTTCTTTTAGTTTTTAGTAACTCCTGCCTTCTTTACTAGAAAAGTGAATGTTCTTGTCAATATAAAAAATTTAATTAATAGATCTAAATTAATCTCTTCTGCTTAAACAATTTTCTTCAAAGAACAAAGTTTATATTTTAATGAGAGCTCAAGACTTAATCTCATATAAGAAACATTACATTTTATTCAACTCTGGACTTAGTCAATTTCTATCAACCAGTGGGTGTATGACCCTAGGGCCTCCTCTAAACAAAGACCCAACATTCTATTGTGGAGGTAATAGATTTTTTTGTTTTCTCTAAGGTAGGTCAATACTGTTTTTCCCATGTGGGCACATCCTAGATGCAGCTGGATTAACCACATGTTTACATTACCAGGGGTAGTCACTGATATCAGATGAAGTGTGGATCTGCACACAGTGGCTAGGAGGTTTTCTCTCAGGTCAACCCCTAATGCACCTGGCATCTTTGATGTATACAAAGTTTACAAAACAGAAACTATGATATGGAACTGGAATGAAAGCAGTGATACATCTACTTTGAAACCATTAGAAAAATTCAGGATGTGGAGTGAGTCAATACCAAACACTTCAAATACCTTGGCATATGGATCAGTTATGACGAATTTAGTATAGGAGATAAGGAAATTAAATATAGAATAGACTGCACTTGAGTTAGTTTTTCATAACATTGCAAATTGCTACAAAGACAAAATATTAACTTATGACATTAGTTAGATCCAGTGACTAGGCCCAAAGAGTTGTGAGTTCAATACCAGGCCACAGCAATGGTGAACCAAAACTTGGAGAGTTGAGATAAAGGGAAATAACTGAGACATCCAGTAGAGGCATGGCACGTGGAACTATAACAATCTACCCTGGTGGATGAAATAAAGGGTTCAGTTCAAAATTCCAGTCACCTGAAGAAGGCCAGTGCATACAATTGCTGAAACGTTGTGAATATGATAATGAAGACAAAGATAATAGTCCAAATAATGTAAATAATCGTAATACCTCATCTCAGAGATATAGAAGAAGAAACGTTGTGAATATGGTAATGAAGATGAGGATAACAGTCCGAATGATGTAAATAATCATAATACCTCATCTCAGAGATTTTGAAGAAGAAACGTTGTGAATATGGTAATAAAGATGAGGATAACAGTTTGAATAATGTAAACAATGTAAATAATCATAATACCTCATCTCTGATATATAGACAGATACTAAAAACTTGAGTCATATACTTAAATAGCCTTGTCTGATTAAATCATATGGATGTTTTGTTTGGGGATGGATTTTTGTCATTGTTAATAATGACAATAATATTGCCGTTTCCTTTTCAAGGAAATTTAATATTTTTAGCATATTAACAGGCTTTTAATCTCTCTTTAAAAATTTGACATTACTTTCCAAGCCACTTTGTATGTATGTTTGCATGTGTATATGTGTGTCTGTTCGTTTTTTAACAGAAAAAGAATGCTGTTCAGTCAATCTCCATCACAGTATCCAGTTTGGCTGTTATGCCTTTCTATATTTTGGTTATCCTCAATTCAAATTTGGTAAATCAATCCATCCATATAAGACACTTGTGAATCGGATCATTCCGAGAATCCACCCAGGGATGCCAGTGAAGAACTAAATAGAGTGCCATTCATGAAAATCATCAAGCATTTGAATATGGCCCATTTAACTAAGGCGTAGCATTTTCTTTGTGCTGCAAAAACTCCACAAGTGACGTATTATTGGCTAATCAATTTTGTAGGGGATGAAAAGAGAGCTGAGGATAATTCAATAAGGACGGTCTAAATTGAATAAGACAAGCTGGAAACAGAATCAGCTATTAACTTTTGGAACCAGTGAAATCTTGATATGAAGATAGCAACTGACTGTTGAAACTGATGGCTGAATGAATACAAAAAATATTAAGGATGGGGAAAAGCTTACAGTGAAGAATAAAAAGGAAAGAAAGAATATTGAAGGAAGGAAATAGAAACGAGTGTCAAGTATGAAAAAAGCTAAGAATAAATAGATGATTTCTTTTTTAAATGAAGAAAATTTGGCAAGAATGAAATCTAATGTAGATGAAAATTGGAAAAAGAAATACATGGAAAGGAAAAAATAATAACTGGGAGAGAATAAAATGAAGGAGAGAAAAGAATGAAAAATATATAGAGAGAAAAAAACAGAAAAATAAAATGAGATAAAATGACATAATGGAAATGAGTGAAAAAACATAGAGGGCAGGTATTTACATTGTTCTGACTGTTGTCCTCATTTTTATTGCTATGTTCACAATGTTTCAGCCATTGTATGCCCCGGCCTTCTCCAGGTGATATCTGTTGGAATTTCAAACCAAATCCCTTATTTAGTTCACAGGGAGTGTACAACGGCTGAAACATTGTGAATATGGCAATAAAGATGAAGACAAAAATCAACTTGATTTAAATAGTTACAATACCTCATCTCTGAAATATAGTTATTCAAGGAGAGAAAGAATGATATTCATGAGATGAATAAAAAAGAATTAGTAAGAGAATGAAAAAAAGATGAGAATGTAAATGATGAAGAGAAAGAAACAGAGATAAAGAGATTAATAAAGTGGAGGAATGAAAATGGACGTAAAGTAAGCTTGAAATACAGAGAGAGGGAATAAAAAAGAGAGTGAGACTTAAAGAGAGAGAAGTGGAGGAGAGAGATTATATGCATAGGGGAGATATTTAAAAGGAGAGATTGAAAATGAAAGAGTGGCTGAAAATCAAGAGAAAAAAAGGAAGAAAAAAGAGAAAAAGAGAGAGAGAGACTGAATAAGAGATTGGTGATGAAGAAAGAAGCAAGAAGACAGAGAGAAAATGATAGGGAAGAGAGAGAGAGAGACTGAATAAGACATTGGGAAGAAGGAAAAGTGATGAAAAGTAAGAGAAAATTAAACAGAGAGAGACTGTGTGATTGGGATGAAGAAAGAAGCAAGAAGACAAAGAAACTGGTGTCAGAGAGAAAGACTGAAGAATTCATTGAAAAATATGTAAAGGGAAGGAAGCAAGATGAAATAAAAAGAGAGAGAAAGACAAACAAAGAATACAGTAAATAAATGAAAAGAGAGAGGAAACAGTCATCAAAGAGAGACTGGAGAGTGGCTCCCAAATAAAAAAAAATAGTAAAGAATGAAATACGAAAACAGAGAATGAGAAATGGAGAGAATAAGAGAAGAAATCTAATTGTCGTTGGGTATGGAGAGAATTTTGCAGGGGAGGTACAATTAAACAAAGAACGAAAAGAAATCAGGGTAAAATATATAGAAAAATCTTATTGGAAAAGGCAGGTCTGTTTCATTCATTGTGAGGAGAAGTTCATTGAATGAATTAAAAAGAAAGAGAGGGAAAATTAGAAAAATCAGAAAGAGAAAAATGAAGAAAGAGGAATGGTTGTTAGAAAGTGCGGACAAGAACTGAATCAATGGATTGTTGTTTATTTGCTTAATGCATTACATTCCATTTGAGTGAATTCCTGACAGAGTTAGAGAAATGGCTGGTCAGTATTATTTGTGAATAGTTTAAACTTATATAGCTTAGCTTGTGTTTCCACAGACTTCCTCTACAAAGGAAATGTCTGCAAAACTGGAGATATTGTTCATTGTAAATCACACTTTTTCATTGTTAGAACCACAGAGGTTTCTCTAGAGAGTAAAAAGAAAAAGAAGGTGTTAAATATTATCAGACCAAGAAAGATGGAAAGATTGACAAATATGAACAAATAAATAAACAGATAGATAGATAGATAGATAGATATGAACAGACTGTGATAGATAGATAGATAGAGAGAGAGAGAGAGAGAGAGAGAGAGATAGATAGATAGTCAGATATGAATAAGAGAAATAGAAAAATAAATATGAAGAGACTGCAATAAATAGAATCAGACAGAGAGAGACTAAAAGAAAGACAGATTATCCGTTCAAATTGTAGAACATGTAAAAAACTGACCCCATTGATTAACTATCTTTAAAATGCAGTTCAATTTAGGTTGGTTGATCTTATAATATCTCAACTCTTGTTGGATTATTTAATATTAAATTTTTAAAGCAGTCTAATAGATGCAAAATTCAAATGAAACAGCTCTTAAAAAGAAATATCACATCTGTGGTTATTGGGTACATGGACAAGTGGTTAGAGTATTAACATTCCAACCATAAGACCAGAGTTCAAATCTCATCTTGTGAAAGAGGTGACTTCTTGATAATTTTAGAAACAATCCTAGCATAGGACACTATTGGGAAGTGCTTGAAAGCCAAATCATGGATTAACTCAAGCCTGGTAGATGAATCTGTTTGGAATCCATCAACTCTTGTACTAGAACGATGTTGTGTTCTCATCTTATGGACAGATAGAAGCTATTTAACCTTGATTGGCAATATATCTAGAGAGGTATCTTGTATACAAGCTCCCATCTCCCAACAGCCTACCATTCACAGGGATGGTAAGACCTAAAAAAAAATCTAATAATGACTGAATATTAAATGAAAAGAAAATAGAAATAATTATGTGACATGAGTCCATAATCTGTTTGCAAATGGTAATAGCCCATGATGACATCATTAGTTGACAATGATTTATGTACAGGCTAGGCTGATCGCTAAGAGAAAAGAATATTTCTGATGGTTTTTCTACTGTCATCAACTTCGATTAAACTGAGTGTTAGTGTTCTTAATGATAAAACTTTTTAAAATCAAATGAAAATTTTTAAAGTCAGTTCTGAAAAGAAACTGAAAATTTCTTATTAACATTAGCTTATGGCCATATCACATTGATGCACTGGTTCTCACACAATCACCAAAGTTAAGCAATATTGATCTTGGTCAGTACCTAGATGGGTGCCCACGTGGGAATACCAGGTGCTGTAAGCTTGGATATATGGGTGGTGTAATGGATGTTCAGATTTGAAAATCAGAGTCAAGTTTCAAATTTCAGTCAGGGTCATTATATTCATCATGATCAATCCCATGACTTCTTCAATCAGTGGGGGCGGGGGTGCTGGGAGCAGAAGAAACAGACAACCTCCTTCAGGATGATCTGTTGGCAGGAGTTCCAGCATTGTCATATCCATTCTTTGATGTGGACGAACATGACAATGTCATTATATTCACTTACATGCAAATGCTCTTGGTAAAGGAATGAATCCACATCTTGTCTGCCTAGCTATGGGTTAATTAGTTGGACATTTGTCAATAAATCAATTTTATCTCCCAAAAATTCTTACAATTTAAAAATATTTTTTGGCTTTAAATAACTCACCAAAGGTCGATAAGACATAAAAAAAAAAAAAAAATCAATCTTATTTAGATTATTTACATGCAGACTATTGTCCTCATCTTTGTGATTATTATTACAATGTTTCAGTTGCTTTGCTCACCATCTACTTCAGGTGTTTGACAGATACTGAAATTTTATGCAAGAAAGGTGTATATATATTTGCAAGTAGCTTTGTTTTATGTATGTGTATTTTTTATTTTATACTTTGCTTTTTTCTCATTAGAGTCAATACTCACTCTTTTACTAATTTGACTACCAAATGTGATAACCAAGAGAGGGGTGACTGTAGTAATAAGAATTTCATAATAATAAGAATTTCTCAAAGAACATGGAAAAACTGGAGGAACTAGAATTTAGCAGAATAGTTGGAACCCTTCAGACAATGATATATTGTATTTGATACAATACTTGATTGAATGGATTGATCAGCAGATTTCAATACTAATATGACATTTGAATTGTCACAACAATGTGTATTGTAAGGCACTACTGACTGGTGATTTCTTGTTCAACTTGATGTCCATATTGTCTCATTTTGATCTTGCCAGTGTGACCTCCATCTTCTGGCTTTCTCCTTCTATATTTTGGATAGGAGACATTCCCTGGTTCAAATTTAAATTTAATTTAAATCAAAGGGAAAAAAAATTTCATTGGGGGCTGTTGTGCCCCTCGAGAACCCCCTTTGATCAAAATGAAATATACTTATCTAATCTCCAAAACCCTGGGAAGAGTTCAATATATATATATATATATATATATATATATATATATATATATATATATATATATAAATTCTACTAGTTATTAAAATGCAACTCTTGCCTTTTCTATAAATTTTTTCATGGTAATTGTTCTGATGAATTTTCCTCTATGCTACTTTATGAATTTAAGAGCAGTACTAGTTGCCAAAAAGGTCTCATCACTTTACATTTGAATTGGTTAGATGTATCCGTAAATTCTATGCTAACAATTTCTTTTCTTGCACTTCTTGGTTGTGGAACTTTCTTTTACCTTCTTTCTTTTCAGCTAATTTTGATCTTCCAAAGTTTAAATGCAATGCCAATTGTTATGTACTGTCTTCTTAATTCCTCTTTTTTTATTGTTCTCACTCCTTAATAATCTTTGTGTTTTTCTTATTCTTTCACACTCAGTAACCCCTTGTGTCTTACTGGCTTTATTGCCTTGCATGGGATGAAATGATTAAAAAATCAAGTAAAACTGAAATTAGAATGAAGGAAAAACTAGTCAGAAATGAATGGCAACAACAAGGCTTTATTTAAGACTACATATTAATATCTAATACTTTTTTAGTGTAATAAAAATAAAAGACATAAAATGAAAGAAATGCTAGTCAAAAATGAATAAAAACTGACAACAATTTATACATTAATATTTCTGCCAGACAAATTTTTAAGTGTAAACTCAAGCTCAAATCAAAAATTGTGTATCAGGTGAGCAGGATTAATGAGTCACTTGAAATTATTTGATTCAATACCTCCATGCCATGTGTTTACTCAATCAAAAGATTTATTTCTTCTGGTTGCTTTTGACAACCTTAAAAATTTTCCTTGATTTTCTTCCTTTTCTTTCTCTTCCTCCATTTTTAATTATTTCTTTCTTATTTCCTTTCTTGTTCTTTTTCCTCTTCCTTCTCGTTCCTCTTTCTTTTTTACTTTCTTCTTTCTTTTTTCCTCTTCTTTCCACCTCTCTTTTTAAACTTCTTTTTTACAGGCTTATTCATATTTATTTCTGCATTTTCCATCTTGACCTTCTTCACATGAGTAACATGGGTTATTTTATGATTATTTTATCAATTTCTTATCCCATTGTAACTGAGAGGTTATGGTAGCCAAAGAACAAGAAAAAACTTAAAAAATAATAAACAATAATCCTGCAAATATTTGAATTTTAAAAATCTTGATATTTCTAAACAGGTTTGATACCATGCATGACACTGATAGGAAAGCCTCAAAATGATGAGTCTATTTAAAAATAGAACTTTTATGGTAATGTTTTGTCTTTTTAGTAATTTGCAGTGTTGAGCAAAACTATCTCAAGCAAAACCTATACTATGTTTAATTTCCTTATCTCGTATACTAAATTTAGGGTAACTGATCCATATGCAAAGGTATTTGAAGTGTTTGTCCACAGGGGTAGATTGTTCTAGTTTCACATGCCATGCCTCTTCTGAATGTCTCAGTTATTTCCCTTTAACTCAACTCTCCAAGTTTTGTTTCACCACTGCTGTGGCGTGGTATTGAACTCACAACTCTTTGGGTCTAGTCACTGGATCTAACCAATGTCTTAGGCATTTGAAGTGTTTGATGTTTACTAATTCCTTATCCAGAATTTTTCTGATGCATTCAGGGTAGATGCATCACTTCTTTCATTCCAGTTCCATATCAAAGTTTCTGTTTTGTAGACTTTGCATATATCAAAGAAGTTGAGTGCATTAGCACGTTGACCTGAGAGAAAACAGGTACATTAGTAGGATGACCTGAGAAAAGACCTCCTAGCCACAGAGTGCAAAACTACACTTCATCTGATATCAGTGACTGACTTGGCAAAGTAGACATGTGGTTGACTCAACTGCATCTAGGAGGTGTTTCTGATTTATAAAAATCATATTCATCAAAGAAACTGGGTGCATTAGCAAGTTGGCTTGAGAGAAGACCTCCTAGGACAATGAGTGCAGATCGACAGATGTCATCTGATATCAGTGTTTGCCCCTGGAAGTGTAAACCTCTGGTTTCTGGGTAAATGTCATCACTGCTTTCATTCCAATTCAAGGTCACTGTTTCAATTTTTTATCATTTCACCCCAAGTAAGGCAATAAAGTGACTAAGATGCTGGAGTGTGAAAGAATATGAGAAAAAGAAAAACATTAAGGAGTGAGAACAATAATAGAAGAGGAATTAAGAAGACAGAACATATGACTGGAAAGTAAAAAGCCAGAAGAGTGTTTCACAAACAAGAAGTACAAGGAGACAAACTGTTAGCATAGAACTGTAAAGTTATGAGACCTTGCCATCAATCTAGTCAGCCAATCAGTTATGTGCCATGTGAGATACATGCTTAGACGATCATGTATCTTTCGATACATGACTGACAAGGCAGAATTTTCCAACAGTTGGTCGCCATTTCTTTCTGTGGTAGACCAGATGCCATCCAAGGCTATAGAACCTGGTCTGTCCTACTATTTATCCATAGCTGGGGGGGAGAGAAGAAGAGAATTCATACCTTTCCCAAGCATGTAAGTGAATGTAATGGATTTGACTGGAATTCAAACACGGCTCCCCGATTCCTCAATCGGAGCCGCTATCCATTACTCCACTGTACCTTCTCAATCTAGTACTGCACTTAAATTCATAAAGTCTAGGTACAACATAGGTCCAATGAGAGAGCCCTGGGGGACACTTCCATTAATACAAAAAAGATCTAGAAGAGTGGCCATTCAAGACAACTATCATTTTGCAATTTGATAAGAAAGACTCAATCAGTTCAAAAATTCATCCCAAAATACTATAAGCTTATAACTTGTGAAGAAGACCAGGATTCCAAACCTTGTCAAATGCGTTTGAGATATCCAAAGCAACAGCCAGAGTATCACCATTCTTATCTAAAGCTTGATAGACTCTTTCAACAATAACCTTTAACACATCAGAAGTTGTAATGTTTGTGTTTTCTGTTATTTGGTACAAATCTTTGCAATCATTCACTTATTTGTGGGCAAATGAGTCATTGATGGTAACTGCAGCATAAATGGAATTTTTTGTCCATTGGAGCTTGGTACCCTTATATATGATTATCATGTCTCATTTTCTTTACTGCTTGAAATCTAGATAAATGAGCAAAATTAGTTTTCATTATCTTAAATATTTCTTTTAAGATAAATTATTCAGTCTACTTTGTAAAGCTCCCTCTAGGGTTATAAAGGTACATGTACTGTGGCAGCAGTAATGTTTCCTGGGCAAGATAGACTGATGGCACCCAACCCTCTCTAGGCTGATTTTCAATTCAGAGTTCTTCCTTCTCCTAGACTGTTTGCAAGCCAAGACTATAGAAACCAGTATATACTACTTATTTACCCATAGACAGAGGAGAGCAGAGATGGAGTCATACCTTTCCCAAGAGTATTAGCATATATGTGAAAGTAACAAACCTAAAAGTAATGAACTGTGCTGAGTAAGTAGTGCTAAAATATTATTATTATTATTCTTATAATTAGTGACAATTTGATAATTTTTGGTGGTATATTTAAAACATATTCATTAAATCCATTAAATTCAGCTTTATTTCTTAGCTTCTGGCATCAGTTTAAAATAACACTTTCTTTTTTTTAATATTTCTTGATTATTTTACTTAAAGTTAATATTTTTTTGATTTCCAATGAAAACTTGGAAAATTTCCAACATATTTCAGCAATGTTTTCACTTTCTAAACTTATAGTTTCTAATTATAACTTAGATTATTGCATCTTAAAGTTGGGTCTGTAGCATGTGGGCAGAAATTATTAACCAGAGTTATGGCCCTTGATATAGACATTTCTTGAATGAGATTCTGACATGGTAAAATAAAAAAGAACGAGAACATACTGTGGGATGTGGATACTATACACACATTTGAACACATGAACTTGGAATAAGCAATTGTCAAGTGGATCTCCTTGTCTTTCATACCAAAATACCCTATGTGGAAATATAGGGTCCATGGGTTTCAGGGGGTCCATGAGAATCAGATAAAAAATAATATTTATATTCACTACACTGCCATTGTCCCAATCAACAGTTTCTCATTGAAAGAAATAAAAGAAAATGCATCCTGCCACTTGAAAGAAAACATACTGGACCACTAATTACTGTGTGAACCATGAGACATCTCTTGACTTGCTGTTAGGCCCATGTTTGCCATTTAAACATGTGTTATCATTTTCTGCACAGCCACCATCTTTTGCCATTCCATAAGAGTAAATGATGATTCTCATTTTCCACAATTTATCATGGTTTGATTATCTTCTCATACATGGGTGAGGATTAATTGACCACAATTTATTTCAATTGTTGCTGACTGAAAAGTGATGTCTGTGCAGTGTGTGTGAGGGTACACTATAGAGAAGTGCACATACAAGTGTTGTGAAAAAACAATCAAACTGGGTAACTGCATTGTCTATCTGTATGTCTATGAAGGGCTAATTCTTATAGAGGTCCATGACTAAACGGGGCTATTGCTCAAAAAAGGTGAAGAATCACTGACTCAGACATATGGAAAAGAGAAGGTGTCAATTTAAACTGAAGCCAGGAGTATGTGGGTTCAAAAATAATCCCAGCTTGTCTTCAGTGTTTATTTTCAATTCATATAAATAATAGAGACATACAGGCAGTGCAACAGTCAGTGAATTGGAAAGAGAAATAAGGAACCCTAACTTAAAAAATCTATGCTAGATCATTATATTCACTTTTGCACAAATACCATTTGGAAAGGTATGAATCCATCACTTCACTCCCCCCAGCTATGGGTTAACAAGTAGAACAGAACTCTTCAGCCTTGGTTGGCAAGCAGTCAAGGAGGAAAAAAACAACCCTGAATTCTCAAACCTGAGTAAATAGCATGGCTGAGTGGGTTCTCTAGCCTTGGAGTGGCAACCAGTCTAGGAGAAGGAAAATTAAGAATTTAAAACCTTGAAGGATGGACTCTAGGCATGCCACAGATGCTATGGTTGCACTACATGTTGTTCACCTATGACCCCAATGGGTCACAAGATTTATGATGTGATGATAAATAATATGAAGGAATTGTAAGGAAACTGCATCGATTAATGATAATACATGACATAATCTCTTATATGTAAGATTACATTATATCCAATTCATCTATGCATGGACATTACATTTTCATCTGTGATGTCTTTTCCACTTACTGCTGGGGTAGGCATTTATACATCTATCTATCTGTGCCATGTGGCTCATTACCATGCTTGCAAGCCAGGGGTAGCTGTGAAGTCTAGATTCAGCACTTGGTGGCTAGGAGGTTACTTTAGATCAACCCTGCAGCCTGTAGCATGCAGAATGGGTGTGTAGAGGGTGTGAAGCCCTGGATATCCATATTGGGAGGGCATCCAATTAAAAAATAAAATAAAAATTTAGTTTATATTTAATTTGAATAAAGTGTTTATTTCATGTTTCAGCTGTTTTCATATATTTAAAATGTATTCCTTTCTCACATTTTTCAGTACTAGGGCCTTACAGGCTCCCCATACTTGACTCTTAGAGGAAGGAGTTGGCCCCAGGAATCACCAAATATCACCAAATCTCTGCATGTTACTGCTTGCAGCTAATTCCCTTGATGGCCTGGTGTGATATTGAGTGCAAATTCTATTCTAGCATCATATGGGGTGAGATATACATTATAGAAGAACTCAGTTTGAAATTACCTTGAGCTAACCCAGATTGACAAGCATCTGTTAAAAGCTGGAAAGCACAATGGCTGAAACATTTTGACAATAGCAACAAAGATGAACACTGTGACAATAGCAACAAAGACATTAATCTGAATGTAAATAATGTAAACAATTGCACTCGGTGCAGGGAATTGCTTTTTTTCCGTATCAAGTGCTTGCTTAGGCCAGTGTACCTGGAGACATTGGTACATGAATGAATCAGTCACCAGCATGAAATATCTGATCAGCTGCAAACCATAGGAACACATCTAAGCTTATTGAATCAAGACAAAAACCTCTGATCAATGATTATCTCCAAGACAAATTCTTTTTTTCTGGTCTTTTAACTTCAAAACTTTGGAAGATTGTCAAGCACTAAAAATATTTTAGGAAAATGCAGTTCTTTCATTGTTGTACTCATTAATTCTCCAAAAAGATGCAAGACAAATTATTTTTTGTTTCTGGCTTTTGATAGCAGATTCCATGGGGACCAAACAGAAATTGAGAAGTAGTTCACACACAAATATTTTTCAAGAGAAATAAAAAAAATTTATTGAACAGAAACACCCTTTAATAAAAGTCAATAAAAGTAGGAGGAGCATTTTAAGAGATGTAAAAGGAAAGAGAAAGAAAAACAAATGAAGAAGAAAATGAAAGAAGTTAAAAGAAATGAAAAAAAAAACCAGAAGAATTCTCTTTTTTTTAAGATTCTCTAAAACACAAGCAAAAGAAAGTGAAAGACTAAAATGATAAGAAAAAGCAAGAATGGAAAAGAAGAAAGAAATAAGAAAAGAAAAGGAAGGAAAAAGAATTACTAAACAAAAAAGATAAAAGAAAAATATAAGATTGAAGAAGAAAACAACAAAAGAAAAAAAGACAGAACAGAGAAAAGAAGAAGGAAATAAGATTTGAAAGAAAAAAAGAAAAAGGGGAGTTGGAAAAGAAAATTAGGTAGGAAAATGTAATGAAAAAAAGTAAAGAGAAATAGGAAAACAGAAAGAAAGAAAAAGAAAATAAGAAAAGAAAAAGTGGGAAATAAAATGAAAAGA